AGAATGATATTTGCCCTCTGCTCAAGAGTAATGCCTGAGTCTGGCATGCTGGTGCATGCCTGTAATCCCAGCACTCCAGAGGCTGAGGTAGGAGAATCACCAAGAATTTGAGGCCAGCCTGTGCTTCATAGCAAGCTCAAGGCCAGGATCAACAACATAGCAAGACCCTGTCTCAAAAAAAATAAATAAATAACAAATAAAGAGTAATGCCTGAGTCTCTGATTTGAAGTCAAAACAAATAGGGAGCTGGCCTTCTTTCTCTTTTCAAACACAGAAGTATTTTCTCCCCCTTTCTAAAGTCAAGATTTTTGTAGTGTTCTGCTTTAACACTGTACATGAGGGAAAGGTCTTTGCAGTGGGTGGTAATGGCTATTTTTCCTGGATGTTCAGGGCCCCAGCTATGGGCTACTCACACCTGCTCAGGGAAGGAAGATCCCTAGAAACACAAAAGCACTTTGATGTGTGTAGGATACTTGTATAACCGTGTCACAGTGGGATGAGACTCTCTGTTCTGATGGTTTCAAAACACCCATTTAGCCTGTGTTGAGCAGAGTCCCTCAAAGAATACAAAGAACTTCATATTATAAGTTATAGTTGCATTTAAAACTGGAATTTATAATCTTTGATCCCAGAAAGCTACTCTTGAATGTATTTAAAATAATGTCCAATTATTTAATATTATTCATCAATGCAATCATATATGACAGTAATGGTAAATCTTTTAGAGCTTTTAATGATACAAACAGCCTGATGCAGTGTACATGCCATAGGTATGCCACCTCTGATATATGGTATTTATCTTAGTTGATCTCTACAGTTTTATTGTTGAATGAAGAGTCAGGCTTAATTACATTTGTTTTCCCTGCAGCAGCCTGTAAGCTATCACTTTCCAGGTTGATTTGGTACCAAGACGCAATAGGTCCTCCTCAACTCTACTTCAATATGGAAGCCAGTTCCATGACTGCAAACCATTACAACAGGCTTCTGAAGTACTTCTCCCCAGACTCAGAAGAATTCAGCTTTAGCAAAATATCCAACACTCACAATGAGAGAAAGATTTATCTGCTTCCATAGAGACAATAAATGATTATTTTAAGACTAAATTTTCATTGCATTCTCTAAAAATCATCTGATTCTCAGACAGACTCAGCTTTCCTCTGTGCAGCACAGAACCATCAGGAAAGTGAGTTCCAAAAATGTTTATCTGTTACATTCAATATCAATGACTCCTAAAGCCTAAAATGAGTGCTGGCACATACTAGGAACTGATAGACATGTGTTCAACACTTGAGTGAATGAAAACTGCCACAAAATGTTTCACAGACAGCTCCCACCAGCTACATGGTGTCCTATATTTACCACATTAAGTTGGCAGTATAACAGGGATGAAAACTAGAAAGATGAACTAGAATATGGCTCCATTTTCCTCCCTTCTCCTACACAATGCACTAAACCTCAGTTTCAAATACTAAGAAAATGTTCCCTGAACTTTCTGTGTTAACCTCGCTAAAACTCATCACTAACTTACTAAAAAATAAAGCCACGATGCCACCAAAGATGTGCTCAGCTATTCTCTACTCTGGAGAGCTGTGCCCCAAATCTGACTCATCAATTGAACATTTCCTGTTTGTACCATTAGGCAAAGAAATTCTCAGAAAGTAGAATAGTAATATTTCATCAATATAGAAGAATTAAGCTTTAGCTTTCTCATCTGAAAATATGAATGATAAGTCTTTTAGTCATTTTCCCATCATTAGGACAAAATGCCTACCACCCACAAATTGAAGGAGGAGAAGTTTATTTAGCTCAGAGTTTCAGAGGTTTCAGTCCATGTTCAGCTAGTTCCCATGAAGAAATAGCATGGTGCAGGGTGAAGGAAAGCTGCTCAACCATGTCAGCCCGGAAGCAGAAAGAGAAACAAAGAGCCAGAGAGATACGTAAACCCTCCAAAATCATTTCCCCAGTGACATACCTTCTCCAACCAGGCTCCACCTTCTAACAGCTTACTCAGATATGAATTCATCAGTGGATACATCCACTGATGATATAACACCCTCATGATCCAACCACTTTCCAAAAGCACAACCATTGAACACATGGCGGAGCAAAACCACACAGTGTAAAAAGGTAAATTGTTGGCAGGATTTGGGTTGGCAATGGAGTGAACAGGTCGAACACAAAGGACATAGATGACAGCAAAAGTATTCTGTGTGATACTGGTAGATATATGTTATTATATATTAGTCCAAACCCATACGATATAAAACAATAGAAATGATCCTTAATGTCCACAATATTACTCAGTTTTCACAGCTGTGACCAAATATCTGAGAAATCATTTTAGGGGAAGAAAGATCTATTTTATCTGATGGTTTCAGATGTTTTAATCTAAAGTTAGCTGGTTCCATTGCTGTGAACCTGAGATGAAACAGAACATCATGGCAGAAGACCACAGTGGAGCAGAGCTGCTTGCAAGGAAGAAGAGAGAGGGAAAGAAGTAAAGAGGAAGAGGCCACGGAGAGTTATAGTCTCCAACATCAAGCCCATGATTGACTCCCTTCAGTTAGGCCCCACCTTCTGTTTCCATCCCCTCCTAATAACACTATCAGATTATAATCTCATCAGTGAATTAATCCATTCCTGATCCATTATACAACCACTTCCCAAAAAGTTGATTAGTTGGCAACAAAGCCATATCACACGAAATCTAAACCATAAACATTTCAAATCTAAACCATAATATTCCACCCTTGGACCTAAAGGCTTGTGTCAACCTAATAATATAAAGTACATTCAGCCCATCTCCAAAAGTTTCCAAAATCTCAGCAGTTCCAGTGTTGCTCAAATGTCCAAGTCCAAAATCTTCTAAGAGACACAAGACAGACACTTAGCCATGAGCTTTTAAAAAAATCAAAGTGCAACTTACATACTCCCAAAATAAAAATGGCACAAGGCAAACATTCACATACCAAACAGAGGAATGGAAATAGAAAAGAATCAAACCAGAGCAAAAACAAAACCCAGCAGGGAAAACATTAAATATATATTTATTTCTCTAGTGAACCCTAACTGATACAGTACCTTTCCTCTCAATTTTGCTGTAACCTAAAACTACTCTAAAAAAATTAAGTCACTAAAAATGAATGGAAGGTTGCAAATATATGATGGCTGGACCCAAGATAGATGTGAAGAACAGAGATTATATCATTGAAAGTGGGCAGATATATGTATGGATGATATACAGAAAATATGCATGACTTAAATATGCTAAATAAAGCTCCATCTGATTCATAATTAAATAAATTATTTATATAAAAAGGAAATCCTAACTAATAAGCAAAGGTTAAAAAAGGTTGGCATACACAAGGTTTGGAAGAAAGAGACATTCTGCCTAATCAGTGCCACTGATGGTGTAAGTTAGTGGAAGCTATCAGGTGACAGTATTTGGAACCACACAGACTACTAAGGGTAAGTCTATTTCTTGAATAACATATTACTTCCCTATGTTGATTAATTAAACATTATATCTATGTATTATAATTTTTTGCTTTCTTACTTTTTAGCATGCTGTTCCTCAATTCATTAAAGACATTTTCAATTTTCTGCTGGATTTGGAAAATGATTATTTTCTGCTGTGCCAGCTGCAGTGGAGAGCATGGATGGTCTGCTAATTATACATTTTCTCCACTTGTTCCACTCCTTCACTCTCTCCCTTCCAAATATCTTCAATACACACGCCATCTTCCCCAATGATCTGAAAGCAATCAGCACTTCAGACTCCTCCATCACCCAATGCAGGTGCCCAGGATGCCCCACATGTGATGGCCCTTGGTGGCTTCCCTCACTAGGCCTAGGTTGCATCTTTTCCTTCTCTGTGATACAACATTTCATTCTCCATATACCTGCTCATCCTCTGAACTTCTACTGACTTCACTGCTGTCATCTTTTCTATACTCTGTTAGTTGGTTTACTGTCCTTTCCACGATATTTCATAAAGATAAGAGTATATGCTTAACCTCCCACTGGCCCTAAAACTAACTCACTTGAGGCATTCTTATAAAGCTGACTATTTATGTACTAGTCATAGACATTCATCACTTAAGCATGGCCATTTCAATTATGCTTTCATCCCCTCCCTTTCTTTTGAACATCACTCTGTAGCTACCTTCTGATTTACCGAAAGAGAAGCCCTTCCTCCACATGATGAAAGTCCCTTTCCTCTCTTAGCATTGTTGTAGTGTTTGAAGTTCTGTTCTGCTTCCTTCTCTCCCCATTTTTCTCTATTGAGAAGCCCAGGCTTTCCCTCTTGTGAGCAGGTGGAAGGTGCCCTCCAGCTACCCTTTCAGAACCAATCACTGATCACTGTTCTCGCATCTCACAGACATTGGTCCATGAGCAGAAGAAGGCAGGAAATGGTGAAAATAAAGCTGTGCAACTCTAATAAAGATCTCATTTTTCATATGTAAGTCATCTTTTTACATTTGATTGTAAACATGTTTACAGAATGAACCTAGTCATACATTTTTAGATTTTGATGATATAGCCATTTGGGATTGTACAAGAAGCAACTGTAACTTTTACTATTTAAATGGTATATTTAAAAGCCAACAAGAAAGGAGTCAGATCATGGTGCATTATTTATTATGCACTTGATACATAAGTAGAGGCAGCATGCCTTTTTACATTTGGTTTCTACTTTTAATTCACTTGTACAATTCATTGATACTGTTGTTTTTCTATTAATCTTTTGTGAACTTCCTGATTATACAACAAAGTATACAGTCTACTTTTGAAATATTTTTATCACAGTATTATTTGTTGCTTTCTGTCAATAAAGTAACAAAGCATTTTCCACTGCCAAAAAAAGAATCCCAGACTTTGGGGATTTGGACAGTAGCTCTTCTATTGTTTCTGATTTTGTTAGAAAAACATTATAAGAATGCAACTTTCTCTATCACAGATATCTGCCTAAAATTGTAAGGACAGCAAAATTTTCCAGGATAGCTTGTAACCAGATGTGGGGCTGGACTGTGTATGCAAAGATAAACAAAGAGACCACTCATTGTTTCTGTGGTTTTACCTTGAAATTACTTTGCCCTTGCATGAGGAACTGTTGGTGTCAGATTCTCCTTTCAGCATTACTAATAAAGAGGCAGGTATGGGTGATATCTACGTCTTGTCTTCTGCTCTGGATATTTCTATACATCAGTGAGAGAAACAGAAGCATACACATCACAGTCTGTGGAGAAACCAAAGTGGCCCCAGAGGCAGACACTCAGCAGCCAGGCTCTTGTCACTGCTCAGAGTTTGTGCTCAGCTCCCCCTGCAGTTCCTGCTACTGTGTCACTCAGAGCACAGTAGTACACAGCCGAGTCTGGCTCTTGCACTGAGGATTTCTTCAAGTGGAAGGAGCTGGTTTCTTTATCATATGTGGCTTCAAAGCCTTTGTTGCTTCCCTTGTTGTTGGCCTTTGAGACTCTGAAGAGGAGCTGTGGACCTTCTCCAGGATATTGGACATACCAGAAAAGAGCAGGGTATCCTGTGGCTGTATAAGTGCAGTTTATGACCAGCATAGCCTCTTCTGGGACAGTAATTTGACCTTCTGTCTGTGTCACTGAGTCTCCATATGTCCTTCCTGGGGAAAAAAGAGATCTGTGTCACCTTGGGGAGACAGATTTACGGGTAAAAATTTGCTAACATCATAGAAGTCCAAATTTTAAAAGGTATTTTACTCACCACCAAGTATGAAGAATATCACAGTTACAGAGCTTGGAGAAATGTTCATCTTGAGAGCATAACCTAAATGATTTGATTTAACAAGAAGATCTGTTGAAGTCCTACGGCAAGGATGAGTGTAACCCTAGTTTGCTCAGAAAATGAGCTTGGGTTAGGAAGCTGCACCCCCTGGTGGACAGGGATGGACATGGGGTGAATGCTTTCCTGGGCTCCTTCTAAAGGTCAGGGGTATCCTCATTCCTGATTTCATTTATAAAGTGCCTGTCAGTCTTCAGATGGCCTTTGCCAATATAAAGGACGTTTTTTGTTTGTAGGACTCTTCCTGGCACATAGTACTTCTGTAGTGAATCCTAGGGTGTCTGTGTAGCTGGGAGGACATCAATTATGTTGAACATTTTAATACAAGCTTTGGTAGTCCCACGGATCTGTTTTGGTCACTCTCTGAGCTATTAAAATATCATAAAAGGGTTTAGATGAAATCACAGGAAGTAATAGAAAGTCAAGTCATTATTGAGTTATTCTGTGTTTCTCAACATTGGTCACAGACAGGTAGAGCAGTGACTGATATTTTTCATCAATGTTTTCACTCACATTTTTCAATTCATCTTTGTTAAATGAAATAAAAATAGTGACCAGGTGGGTATTCATTGAAGAATCATTATAACTCGGAGGAGGTGAGCCTCTCGGGCCACTGTACCACCATACCTGAGCACTGAGGAGTAGAGCCCCCCCAATGCCAAGGAGGTGAGCCACATGGGTGCCAGCAGCACCCACACACACAGCTGGGCCAAGCCATTACCTGGATCCACACCACAGAGTTCCAGGAGGTCATAAAGTACATTGTTCTGAGCTCCAGAAGATAGAGCAGAAGTGAACAACAGAAAGAAGGCCTCTCTGAAGCTCGTTGATGAAAATTGAACCCCACTGGAAAAGTGAAGAAAATTTCTGCAATAAAGGTATACCAGACCACTTGTACCTGGTAAGTTGGAGGGATCCTCACCTCCCATTGGAACCTGGACTATCTCCAGAGGAAGTGCAGCTGGAACCTGCAGTAAAACCTCGAAGAGTTTGACCCAGCAGGAGCTCAGGAAGCTCAATTTGGGCTGTGCAGCCAGAAAACAGTCTGAATCTCTGGGGACTGCTGCTGGCTTGCTGAGATTAATTGACTGAGATCTGCATACTGCTGCCCATGTTGTCTATTGTGACAGTAGAGACATACCCTGAAGGAGGCCCTCTATTTTTATTTTTAGTTTTTATTTTCAAAGTTATTTTTTTCTCTTATTTTTATTTTTTTCTTTTCCCTCTCTCTCTCTCTGTCTCTCTCACACACACACACACACACACACCTTGTTCATCTCTCCCTCTTTTTGTTCATGCTACTGTCCTAATTTGGATTTTTTTTCTTTCTTTTTCTTTTCTTCTCTCTTTTTCCTTCTCTTGATTGTCATCAGTTTTAAAGGAATATGAATACATTTTCTAGTTTCCCTATTGCTGTTTGGTTGTTCTGGTCTTGTCTTTCTTTCATTTTGTCTTTTCCTCTTGTTTCCAACACTTTCCTAGAGTTTGTGTGATCTTCCTGTGTCTGCTGGCCTCACTTCTAATCTTTCCCTAAACTTGTACCTATCTATCCCTCCTTCCCCAACTCCTTCTAAGCCCCCATCCTGAAGGGTAAATTTGCTATATTGAAGAGTTTTTTCACTATAAACATATTTTGGGCTGGTCCTCAGTTTTGATTTCATTCACACAGTTAAAAGTGATAGATTAATAACTACCACAAATTGTCATTTTCTAAGCTGTGCTTGATGCTATTGTTGCTGCTGATTGTATCACTTGGGCTAATATGTTGTCATTGATCTAATCAGTTGTCCTTCTTGGTATACTGAAAATGAGATTTCCCATTAAAGACTCAAAACCTGAAGATCAACTATATCTGGATGACACCTCTGAGGAGCAATCATTCTGTAAGGGTTCTAAATACAAGCAACAAAGATACTTACAATAAGCAATATTGAAGTATCATCCCAGGAATTAAACCAAAAACAGTTCCAACAACAAAAATAGAAATGAAAAAACACCTAAACAAGGTGCAAACCCAGACTTCCAGCTCACCAAAGGCAAATTCTGGAGGAAATGAGGTGGAAAAATATGATAATCAGCCCCCATCCCTCTGGCTGCTCTCAGTCCACAGGAAAGTGCTTTTGGGTCACCATCCCTACTGCTGCTCCTGGCCCCTGTCCCACCTCACCCAGCTCAGAGGAGGTAATCTGTGCAGGCACTAACAGCCCCCCACCCCAGTCGAAATGAGAAAACACATAAATAAGTCTTAAAACCAGACTTCCAGATCACCTACAGCAACCCCAAAGGGAAATGAGATGGAACACTCTGATACTCAACCACCTGGAC